TTAAAAATACATAAGTCCTACTCTTTTATTCTTTGTTATCTGGTCTGTGTACATGAAATTTGGAAAGACTACATACTTCAATCTTTATCGTATATTTCATCTCCACAAAATGTCTCAAGCTTTCTTGGCTCTTTATTACTACCTCTGCTACTGAAGATGGATGGAGGTTATATTTTCATCCCTGTGTGTGTTTGTCAACAAGATTTTTCGAAAACAGCTGAATGGATTTGGATGATAGTTGGTATACATTTGGACTATGACCCAACTAAGAAGTGATTAGCTTTTGGAGGGTCAAGGTCACAGCAAGACAGAAATCCTATCTGTTAACATTGGGACTGATTTTTCATACTATTTTTGCTCTGCTCAGTCAAATGATTGGATTTTGATGAAACTTGGTGGATACATGTAGAATATTATTCCTCATTGTCCTGCCAAAAATGGTCCATGTCCATTGATAAAGACAGACATATGAAAACATTTTCATACTTTTTGAGAGTCGACTATGATCAGTGTTGCATGGCAGACGTATGCGCTCCACTGAGTGTCCCTCTTGTACGTATGTTTTGTGGCCAATTTTTTCAAATATAGCAGCATAATAGCTGAAAAGCATTGTTAATGGACTATATCTGTCTAGGAAGTTTTGGATGATGTTTTGAGCTGATAATGCAGGTCCTTATCAGTGCTTGTCAAGTACACTGTTTATACCTTCTCTCAAGCAAGAACTATAGCAGCACTGCTTTTAGCATTATATAAAGTGGAATCCCATGTTAGATAGACTGAAGACTGAAAAGTCTCATCAGTTTCTAAAATGTGCATTAGTTAATGCTCCATTGTTAATTCATCCAAAGACAGACGTTCCATTTGTCCTGGATAGAAATGCCAACAGTGGAATTGGGCCAGTGCTATCACAAGCACTGAATAATGTAGAACATTTTATAGGGTTCAAAAGGTTAAAATTAAAAAAAGGTAGCACACTAGCATTATGCTGCAGCTGCTCCCAGGTTATCTAAACAATGGCACTGTATTCAGTTGAAGAACAGTTCAAAGAGGGCTGGCATGTCAGTCCTTATAAGACAGAACCTAATGATTTTGGTTAGAAGAACTCAGACTGGTGGCCAAAATGTATCAACATACAAGTCCTCTTTAGCTGGTTGACTATGGTGAGCTAGTCTTCTAAAGAGTCGGTTTTCTAATGAGATTGTCACATTCAAGAAGGAGTAACATGAAGATATTGTTGAGAATAGGAATAATACCAAGAAGAATTAAAATTAAATTTGTTTTTTCAAAGACAGCTTGTTAAGTTATATCAACAAACAATTTATTTTTATGCCAACTAATTATGGTTGATTGAAAAAATGATGAATATTGTTCAAGATTTTATCAATTTGTCTACTATAAATAAAAAATCATGAGTTACAAATCTAAATTATAAAGCAGTGATTATAATTTTACAAAGTAATCACTTTTCAATGTTTCATTTAAATTGTTTTGAAATAAACATGAACCAGGCCTTAGATATAGTATTAGAAGCTCTTAATACTTTTCAAAGGAACAACACATTTGCTCTGATAACATTTACAATATCAAGATATTAAAGGAAATTTCTAGCACTCTTGTATCTGTAGGAAGATTGTTATGAGTGTTTAAATAGAAATAATTAAAACTTGTTACTCATATGTAAAGGTTTTTTTTTAATTCCAGAGGTCACTTATGACCATTGAAGCACTTCAGATGCTGATACATCACTGGTGATTCTCAGATAGACTTAATTGGTGGTGCTCATCTTTCCAGGTAGCCTTCCCTAATTTTGAATTAACAGACTAGAGGGAAGACAGCTAGTTAACACTACTGCCAACTCTTAGGTTACTCTTTCACCAACAAACAGTGGGATTGACCATCACATTATTACACTCCCATGTCTGAATGGGCAAGTACTTTCAGTTACAGGGATTCAAACAGGACCTGCATCACTCTAACTCTAACCGTATAAATTAACAATGTGGTAATGTACAATTCTTTAAATTACTAGTAATTTTTTGTTCCTATACAAGAGCAACAGTTGTATTTTAAATGTCAGTTCATTATATATCTGTTGGATTGGGTGTGGTCTATGGTTATTATGTCCACTGTAAATCCAAGGTTTATGGTCCATAATATGTTCTTGCAAGAATGCACTCTTTACATGCATTGTAATAGCAATGATCACATAATGCTATATGATCAGACAAGAGTTGGCAGTGGGTGATGTTGACTAGCTGCATTTCCTCTAGTCTATCAGTTATGTAGCTTTATGAGAAATTATGAAAAAAATCAAGTCATGTCTAGTCTGAAAATATAAAATTGTTTTTTAAGCTTTGGTGTTAAGTCCCAGTACAGTTTTATTTTACATATGATTCTCAGCTTTTATTATGTTTCAGTTTTCTTTTGAGTAATATTTCTGTATACTTTTATTTATCACAATGTTTGCTTTACTGTTGTTTTTATTTCTGGCTGACATCAAAGTAGATTCGATTTTTCTTAAACAAACAAGTATTGTCTCTTTTTTTTTTATTTAAACTACACTTTTTTGTGGAGACTTTTTTATTTTTATTGTGAGGATCAGATGGAACACAGAAGAAGGTAACAACTCACCCAAACAGTGCAAATGGATCAACTTGAAAGGCCAGAATTTAATGTATAATCAAAGATATTAGTTAATGTAAAGCTATCAGAAGAAACTTGTGAAACCATAAGCACTGGTGAAATACTATAAAAAATTATAATTCTATAAACTTAAACACAACAAGAGTAGGGTTAGTAGTCTTAAAGATACTACATGATGAGGTATAAAGAATAATACTTGTGCAAAGTTTTAAAAATATGTTACCAATAACACAGACATCCTACACTAACATATAAAGAATTGCATGAAACATTCATAAAAAACAGGAACAGGTATAAAAAGTAGTAGTTAAAATTCACTTTGTCTTCAATTTGAAATTGTTAACCCATGTGAATAAAATATCCTAATAAAAAAAATAGTGCACAGATAAAATAATGATTACATTAAGACTTCATATAAATACATAATTTAGTCCATGTAGGAAGAGAAACCACTGCATAAGTTCCATCCTAAAACAAATTATAGTTGTGGTAAGCACATAAATTTTTTGGTTGTTTTTTCCTTTAATTTTGATAAATATATATGAAACAAATACACAAAAAACTAGTTTGCATATTAAAAAATCAGGCTTACGAATACTCAATGAAAATAACTCATTTGGATGAATTGATTACAGTTCAATGACTTGTATTCCACATCAGAACCATTAACTGTTTTTAGAAGCAGAAGTTTCAGCTCAAAAGAAAAAAGCTTCAAATTCATTTTATTTGATATTGAGTTACTTCTTATTTTAATGCTTTTCCTTATATGTACATTATCACCTTTGAATAGTTTTATAACTTAAAAAATTTTAATCCACAGTTAAACTGAATGTTTGAATGTCCAGTTACCGTTCAGGTTCCTGATATACTTTGCACTTCTTTGTTTGACAACAGATTGTTAACAATTTCCTCATCAACTTGAATACCATTGACACTATTTATTTCATTATCCTCTACCTCACTGAAACCATAGTCTGTCATTGTTTGAGGAATTACATTAGACTGAATCTCAGTAGCCATTTTGTCTTGGTCAGTGTCATTTGTTTCAAGGAACTTAGATCCAGCCTCTTTTGTGGCTGATTTGACACATATCCTTGACTGGCTTCCTTGAATCATTTCAGAAAGATATTTTGGTTTTGAAGATGACAACTGATTAATATAAGGTTGTAGAAAACCAAAATTCTGGGTTTCCACCTGCTTCCTCTGTGTGTTTCTTTTCAAATGGTTTCCAAATGTGGGGTATCTGGCACTTTTCAACTGATGATCTACATCTTGCTGAAGCTCTTTATTTTTATTGAATTTTTTACTTTTTTGAAGTTCATTCAGTGATAAATTAACAGATTCAAATTGTTTTTTAAGCTCTTCTATTTCATTTTCAAGTTGTTCTCTTCTGTTAACAGTTTCTTCATAATGACGTAAAAGTATTTTATGTCTCAAAAGTCCAGCTTTTTGCTGCAGTCTTTGTGTTTGAGATCGGAGAGATTCGTGACTTGTCTTTAGTTTTACCAGGTAACCCCTTTTCTAAAGTTGAAAGAAAAAATACTTTAATGAAAACAAGCTTAAAGAGTATTTATATAAATGCTGGTTTGAACTAAACTATTTTTGGAAAATTGGGATATGACTGATGAAGGTGAAATACAAAGATTTCAAAGAAAATTTGTAGCATTGTAGGGGGGAAATAATCATACAAAAAATTTCTGAAGCTGATAATAAAGAGAGTAAGTACATTATATTGAAATTATTTATGGGCCTCAGAATGATATTACAGTCCGTGTCAGCATGTCTAGTCATGCTAAATAAGTTAACAGTGCATCTTGACAATAACTTTCCAGTGTAGTTTCTGTTGGAAACACCTCTCCTCCCTACATGTTTTAAATATGTCATCTAGTTTATGAGGATAGTTTCCAGTGCCTGTGTTAACGATCCAATTGTGCAGAAATCTGTAAGCATTGCATCTGGCAACTTGACCACTATGTCTATGTATGGAATATCATGAACTGCCAATTCATTATCCAACTGCTTGATGTATTTGATGGTTCAACAGATATGTTTTGGAAGCAATTTGTGTACATGTGGCCTCTGTCAGTTTTTTAGTCATAGATCTTTCTTGAGTATGTTCCATAATGTTCCCTGAAACATGTTAATGGCTTTTGCACATGCCTTTGTGTTTGTGGCATCTCTCCTGTTACAAGATGCCACATATTGCTTATATTAGGTAGTCAAGAAATTAATGTTGCTTCTTTTTAGATTAAAAGACCCGAACAACTTATATATCAAACAAAACATTTATTAAATGAAATAGTGTCCATTCTTATTGATGATGCTTTTCCATCTTACAATCAGGTTATTAATGCCCTGATCAAAGAAATCATTTGGCTTTGAAGCAAAAAACATGTTGATGTCCTCTTTAACACCTTCTACATTTGCATAAGTTTTCCCATTAAGATGGTGTTGCAGCAAATGAACAAGATGGTAATCTGATGATGCCATATCTGGAGAATATGGT